TACCCAATAATGTAACGCAGAACTGCAGGAACTTCAAATGTTTCAAATTTTATTAATCCATATTTTTCAAAATCTTTGATTTTTGTATTGGAAAAAATATTTATTTTTTTTAGTTCAATATTGGGTTTTCGATACTTTTTTGTTTTGTTAATAACTTTAAAAAATCACCACAATTTTTGCGTTTTTTTATTTGTATTATTAAAATTTGTATTTTGTATTGTTTAAATTTCCATTATTTATAAAAATTCACTTTTCAATTAAATTTTCAAAAAAACAAATACCAACGTCAACAAAAAAATCCGGTTGGTTCCTTTAGAGGATTTAATTTTTTTGTATTTATTTTATTATTTAATAAAAATAATTTAAAAAAACTTTTTGTGATTTTTTTTGGAAACCACAACTTTATGCGTTTCCAAAATTTACCGTTTTTGATTATTTGTTTTATATACGAATTTAACCGTTATGACCATGTATTCCGTACCACGTCAGGATATGAAATGTTTATTTATATTTTGATACGCCATGCCTGTCGTTTGCCATAACATTTCGACCATATGGTTGGTTGTTGCAGTTCAAACACACATACACACACACAAAAGGGATTCACAATGGCCAAATACTTGCACAAACACTCACATATAGCCGCACTCAGTGGATTTTCCATTTGTATTTGATTTTTCACCATTCGGCATTCGTCATTGTGTTTACAAAAATTTGCCGCTTGTGGTGAACATTTTTCCAAAAAAAAAAGCTTTGAATTTTGTTGTAAAGCTTTTCGTGGCATTTTCTCTGTGATTTTTCTCTTAAAAGAAGAAAGAGAGCCTGTGTATTTCCTACCCACCCACCTCAGACAACTGTTGCTTCAGTGTAATGTTGTCGTAACAAGATTCCGAAAGATAAACCACCATGCCCAATTGATATAATTGATAGAGGTGAAATTTTCAGTTTATAACAAAGAGCGTTAGTTAGTTAAAAAATATTCTCTTACCAAACCGAATATTTAAACCCTCAACTAATTAACTCATTGTAATAATAATTTTAGACCCAATCTATATTAATAAAAAGTAAAGTGATTGACTGACTTACAGACTGACCGATTCACTGATTGACTGACTGGAGCTACAATCTAAAAATTTTGGTTGAGGGTCACTTTTTGTCCAAACGTGTCAGATTAGGCTGTGTTTTCGGAAATTTGTCTAAAATGGCACGAAAAGAACTAAATGTGTACCATTGGTATTTGGCGAACCGATAGAGCTAGAACTCTTAAATTTGTAATGAGGGTCACTGATGGAGTGTATAATTGATGTAGCAAAGCTTTTTTTGAACATTCGTATAAGTATCCGAAATGTACTAAATTTGATACAATTTCGTAGCATGTGAATGGATAGAGCTAAAAACTTGAAATTTGGAATGCAAATAAGGGTTCAGAAGTAGGGTCGATATAAGGTGGTAATTTTGACATTAGTTAGAAATGTACTAAACTGTACTAAATTTGGTACAATTTGAATTTTGAAAAACGCATGAAGCGGATTTGGGATCCTGAATTTTTGAGTTATGATCATTGCTGGGGTGTAGGAACGTTTTGGAAATTCGTACTAATGAGTACTATATGGTGCCAAATTTGGATTTGGGTGAATCGATACTTATTGCATTAAAAACAATAGTCCCTGTGTATTGTTTGCGATGGTTTGCAAAAAATAACAACTGTTTTTTTCATTTGATATTCTCTTTAAAGCTAAATGCAAAATGTTTTTATGTAGTGAGAGGAATAAGTGCAAATATTCTGAGTTGTTATCTTAAACATGAATGTATGAATTGTTTGAGAAATACGTACTATAGTCTGTTATAGCAATGAAAGTAGTAAAGTCGGACTGGGCCGACTATATGATACCCTTCACCACTTTCGGTATATTGTTTCCTATAAATCGATTTCCATAAATTTGTAAGCAAACGACTCTATATCTGTCCAAATGAAATTAAATTGAGCATCGATTGCAGGAAGGCACGTGTGTGTTACTTCGATGGAACAATCAGACAAACATTAGGAGTTTGGTGTACCATTTACCTAAATTCGGACGAAAATATATATGTGGGCGCTATATCTAAATCAGAACCGATCTTAACGAAACTTAGCACACGTTATTCTAGACTCAATTCTGTACGCTATGCTAAATTTCGTACAAATTGAAGAATATATAGGGACTTTAGTGTGCCATTTACATTAAATCGGACGTATATATATATGGGATATATATCTAAATCTGAACCGATTTTACGCAATTTAGCACACGTACGCTATGATTTCGTTTCCGATTTTCTCCACACTTAACACACATCATTCTAGTCCCAATTCAGTACGAATGACAAATTTTGTGCAAATTGAAAGTTATATGGGAACACGGACAAAATACATATGGGAGAAATACATATGGGAGATATATCTAAACCTGAACCCAAACTTAGCACACATCATTATACACTTAATTCTGTGCCGCTATGCCAAATTTCGTGGAAAGCGAGAGATATATAGGCACTGTTGTGAACCATTATATGGTAGCTATATCTAAATCTGAACCGATTATTCCCAATTTCAATAGGGTTCGTACTTGGGTCAAATAGATGAGCTGTTCTAACTTTCATCATTGTTTACAATTTTACATGGACATACGGACGGACATACATAAATCGATTCAAAAAGTGATTCTTTGATATTTTCAAAATTAAGTTTGGGTATATTTCGTTTCATTTGCATGTTACAAACATACAAACATACATTTGGTATAACCCTAAAATAAATATTTGGTATTTTGAATGTTCTAACCCCATTTTTATGGTTCGCCGATTTTTTTCCCTCGCTCTTAGCTTAAGCCTTTCAAAGTTCCATGGTCACGAAAAAAGTCGGGGCTCACAGTGTTAATGCACCTACCATTTAAAACAGTGTTATGCAGGCGTAAATTGAAGGCTAGTGTGTGTGAGCGTATACAAATTACTGAAGAAAACAGAACAAATTAGAACGTATGATTTTGGGCAAGTGGGCACGATCACAGTTCACACCCTGCTTAGGCACATAGCATAGAAGAGGGGTTAGATTTTTTAATAACTAATATCATACGTCAATCCCGACCAGTAAATTTTTAAGATTTTCAAATGGCTTGCCATTAAGAACATGAGTTGACATACTTTTGTTGTTGTGGTTTTGTAGTTGTTTTTTTAATGATCGAAAATTACTTATTTTCGACGGGCATGACTTCTGATCACTGGAACGTTTGATTGCAAAAATTCCAACGGTATTCGAAAAAGTACATTCTGCATCTGGTATGAACTAGGATTATTAACATCACGCAAAAATTAACAAACTGACTGACATATAAAATACAATTTTTAAAAAATCCCCTATTTTCGACTACAAATCGAATTAGAAAATCTTGCATTTAGCATTTATCCTAGTTCATACGAATCACGTGTTAAAATTTCGAACCCATCGGATTATTGGGTTTTGCGAAATCGTGCCCGCCATTTGTTAAAAGACTGTTTCGAGAAAAACGCGTTTAAAGTTTGAAGTTTGAAAAACACTTCTGCTGCCGCTTGATACTGACACAATAAATCGACTATATCTTTAAGAGTTGTTGAGATTTTAATGCGATATTCTTGAACTAGTGTCGGTTCAAATTAAATCGAAAACCAAAATTCAATTTTTTGAAACCAGGAATGGATGTGGTACAGAAATACCTTATAAGTCCTATGTGCTTCGGTGGGGGTTTGTTTTTCTTACCTCTAATTGAAATTAAAAACAAAGTTTTTTATTTATTATTATTCTTTTTTCATTGTTTTTATTTTATGTTCGAATAAAATATCTAAAATATAAACTCTTATATATCAACAGGTGAGATTAACGAAGGCACTTCATTTAGTTGTTATGTGGTGCAAATGGGATAGATAAGAAAACAAAGTAGATGTAATTTTTAAAATCAATTTATTATAAAAAATCAGTATATTTCAGTTTTAACTTAGGTAGGACTTAAATAAATAAAAAATTAAAAACATGGAATTGAAAACAAAAAATAATAATTATAATAAAAATGGTTATATTAGACTTAGGGATTACACTTAGATGAACTATTTTTAGGTACTACAACTTAAAAAACGAAACTTAAATAAATTTTACACAATAGAGGGATAAATACAGGGTAGATGCGATGAAAGGCGAGAGGGGGTAGAAGGGAACTTTGAATTCAGACAATTATCTTAAAAGACAATTGAGTAGGGAAAGTGAGAAGAGAACCAAGGGGATTATATCTTTGTTCTCCTCTTATTTCTAAACTCAGTTTCCTTTTAAGAAATGTTATGTGTCTAGCTTCGATGTAACCACTTTTGAATCTTAATTCTATTACTGAACGTTTCTATATGAAAATGGTTTTTTACAAAACGCACAAATGATAATTATATATAAATGTAGTTGTGTCAGTATTTAAGCTTAGTATAATTTGAACCAAGTAAAAAACAAAATACTGGACCTTTTAAGAATTAAAACTGATATTAGAACTTTTTAAAAGTAATATTCGAGGAATATAACGACATATACAAATTAGAATAAAGAAAATTAAAAATAAAATATAACATTGGATACAATAAAAATTTGTTACAATTAGGGTTTTGGGGAAGGATTTCAAATCCAGTCAAATTAGTTAAAATATTTTCCATAAACTTCTTGTCTAACAATGTGATGTGTTTTTGTATTACAAATGATACATAATAAATAGGTTATATATTTTATTCGAAACATTACAATTAGGGAGGGATGTGTGCATATTTTTCTTAATCGCTAAAACTTAACAATGAATATCTCTCTTAAATCTAAACTTCATTTTTATGGTTAGAAAAAAAATAATAAAATTAAAAAAATATGGCTTATTGTTTGGTTGAGCATTATTGGGTTCTCAAGATGGGGAAATTCGATCGATTTCCCCCCTCTAGTTTTTAAAGTGTCTGTGATTTGTTACTTTAGGCCATTCAAATGCTGTTGTTGCGGCTCCCACAGATGCTGTTGAAGCTCCGGAAAGTGGAGTTTTATTACCACCACCACCATTCAGTAGGGATGGTGTCTTCAATGGAGCCAATGGTCGATCCAATATTTTCTGTGTATTATAATTGCCGATGTGTGGCGATAGATGTCCATTATTGTGTTGTACTAATTGCTGTTGATGTTGTTGTTGTTGCTGCTGTTGTTGGCCGTTTGCGGAGGAGGAGGTTATGATGGGACTGCTTATTGTTGGCGCTTGGACACGTCTATTCGAAAGAAATAAAATAAATTAATAATTTGGTAAAATATTAAAAAAATAAATAAATTGGAATGAAATGAAATGAAGAAAGCAATAATTATGGTAACAATTGTTCAACTAGCTTGAGATTGAAAATGGAGGATTGGGTTAGGATCAGTTGATGATTTCAATGGATGTGTGGATAAGTGGAAAAACCGAAATTTAAATTTACTTTGATGAAGAATATATTCAGCCGAAAATTGCTTACAACGACGGCCAAGGGACCGGCCAAAGCGATATCAAATAAAGGGAAGAATTTTTTCAAAACTTTTCGATATCTTTCTTTATAAACGATATGTCGTTATGCATCGAACAAGATGTTACGAATTGAATAATAACATTAACATGTCCAACGTATTATAGTGGGTGGAGTATAAGAAAAGTGAGGTTATGTTCTTTTTTCATGAAAATGATATAAAAATTTCATAAATTTCAACAACTAATGCAATGTTAGAAATGAAATGATGCAATTACTATATTTATCAATATTATGGCGGAGAAGAATAAAAATGTGAGGTTACGTCCAATTGAAATAAAAATGAGATAAGAAAAGTGTCCTAAATGTTTATGGAATTATATATTTTACATGACATTAAAGAATTAATGAAGTGTTATAAATGAAATGATACAATTACTATATCCACCAATAGTATAGTGGAAAAGAATACAATTGTGAGGTTATGTCGAATTTATATGAAAATGAAATTAATTCCTAAAAGAATTGCCAATTGTATTTATATGAAAAAGAAATGAAATAGATTCCTAAAAATTCCACAATTAATGAGGTGTTACATATGGAATGATATAATTAATACGAGTATAACCTTCAAATTATAATGGAAGATTTCAATTTTCAAAATTTTATGGAAAATATTTTTGTGTGTGAATTTCTAAAACAATGAACAAAATCTACTTAGAAGAGGTGTAAAACAAGACCGATTTACTGTGCAGAAATAAAATTCCCAACTCTACAACAATTTAATTTAAAATTTACAAAATTAATTTTCGAAATTTACTAACATTATTCATTCTTGGTATTGGATATTCGTGTACCCTTTTTCAGTTTTACTTGTAAATTTAAGGTCATCAAAGGTTTTTTGCCATTAGCAGAGCTGGGTAGATGGAATAATTTTGAATAAATCGTAAAAAATGGAAAATGTGTGAAAAAATGCAAACAGAGATTAAAAAATTAAAGTTCATGTTAGCCAACTAGAAAGATTATAAGAAGTCACATGACAATCCCTCCCAGATCTCAAATATTATTTGAAAATTGTCTTTGTTGTAGCAGCCCTACTACTTTTAACTAGCGACAAAAGCTAAAGTTTAAGGCTATTCAAAGAAAAACCATGTGAAGATACCCATAGAGAATCTCTACCGAATAGAGTTCAAGACAAATCCATCATTTTATTCACAAAAGTTCTGACAAAAGCATTAGTAAAAATCCAACCATTCTATGGACTTCCTACAAACAAAATCCGAAATTTGTAGTGATGACCAACTATCTTCAGTCGAAGTATGTCTCTCAAGTTGCTGTGAAGTCACAAAAACCTTCCAGTCAAGCCATACAGTTTATGGACGTTTGATAAAATCATCGAAAGGTTGTGTTATCGAAAAAAAATCTTGCCATATTGGCACTCTAAAATAGACAGAAAGAATTAACCTGACCGATCAAGACGCGTGTCGTTTCGCATTATCGATTCATGTGGAAACGACAGAGATGGTAAATCTCAAAATTTAAGATACCACCCTATTTCAATAGAATTACGTCATCTCTAATCATTGACAAATGCTCAAGTCTATGGGCATTCAAAGTAAAATCTGTAAAGATAGCAATAGGAAATTTCTAACGAATCATAGAGTTCGTTAATTAGAAAAATCCAAACAAGCTTTGCTAAACAACACTCTCAAATTAATTCTCAAAAGGTATCAAACCCCATTATTAAAATTCCATCTATTCTAAAAACGTCCTAAAGACCCAATCGGAAATTGGTGGTGGTAAACCGGGCTGTCATCTGACCAACCCTCTTCAGTCGAAGTCTTGCAGTCTAGTCTACTCTATCTTAAGAAGTTATAAAATACTCATACCCATCTGACCACCGCCTTAATTCTTCGGACGTCCTACATACGAAATTTGAAATTTGTAGTGGTACATTTGGCTGTACTTTGACCATCTCCAGTCGAAGTACGTATTTTCTACTCTCCCTCAACTAAAGTCTCATCCAGTCAGGCCTCTACAGTCCATGGACATTCTGACTGACATATTCATCGAAAAAATTAAGCTTTAACTCACTAAAATTATCTGAAAGGTCTATATGGTCATCTGACCAACCCTTTTCATTTATTCTAAGAAGATCTCCCCTCTCTATGGACTTCCTACAAGCCTCTAATGTTAAGCTGCAAAAGTCTCATACATTCAAACGTCTGCAGTCTATGGACTGACATATGACTGACTGACATATTCATCGAAATATCCAAGCTTGACTCACTTAAATTATCTGAAAAGTTTAAATTGTCATCTGACCAACCCATTTCAATCCAAAAAAGACTCCCCTCCATTCTCTATGGACCTCCTACATGCGTACATAATATCAAAGACTATGTACCTAAACCATGTCTTTAAGGAAGCTGTTAAATATCAAACGCCTTTCGGTCAAGGCTCTCCAGTCCATGGGTGTGTTGACAGATTTCTGTGAAACACAGAGCTCGATCTATTTTTTTCCCTCTCCCCTCTTTCTTCCACACATAACCAGCAACCCAACATTAAAGCATGAAGAGTCTTAATTGGCTACAGCAAAGTATTTAGAAATAGGAAAAAAAGAAATGCCGTCGCCTGAGCTTAAATTTTTCCCCAGAATGATCAAAATACACTGACGCCTGAGCGAATTTACCAGGCCATATTGAACTTGTTATGATGACCGACTAAAACAACACCTAAAGGTGGGACGATGTTGACAATTTTTAACAGGGAAATTTGGCACCTAACCACCTGTAGTCTATTCGATTAAAAACCCTGCCAAAATCGTCATAATACCTATGATACTAAATTTACCTAAATTTGAACCCATTGAGAAATCGAATAACTAAACTTCAGAAAATTCTATCAAAATTAATCAACACATTAGAAAGAGATTAGCCCGAGGGGTAGGTAAAACCGTGGATCGTTAAGCTTATTAAACATTGTAGAATTAAAACCAACGTGCTCAGGGGCTTTGGACCTCTAAGAAATGCTACAAGGTCTTGTAATTGAGGGGAGTGTATATGGTGGGGAAACAACTCTTCTCCAACTTACTATTTTTTGCGAGGACCCCATTTCTGTTCATCCTAACCAGTTCCCACTACTAATTCAAATTTCCAATTAGCAAAACCATCTCAAAAAAATAAAATCTCTCAAATACTTACTTTTGTTGTGTTATGGTAAACACCGATTTGGAGACAATACGCTTTCCGGTACGCCAAATGCGACTAATGTATTTCATGCGTTGTATGGCAATAATGGCCATGGCGACAGTCCTGAAAAGAATAAAAAATAAATTAATTTAGTTTAATAGAAAAAAATTAACTTCATTTCAAAACGTACTTAAATAATTTCTTTTTGGGCCTTGCCGGCTGCTGTATCATCTCTCCACCATTTAAGGCTGCCAGCGCCTTTTCCTCACTGTCCTGATAATTTTGTAGCGAGATTTTCAGATAACGTTTTTGATATACTAAGGCTTTGCGGTGAGAATCGACACGTAGATAACGGCCGAGTAGATGATTACAACGTTCTTCGAGTTCTTGCAGATTGGCACCACCGGAACCAGAAGCACCACCAGCCAATTGTGTTTCCAGCTCTTCACATTTCCTTTGCAGTTGACGTCTCTCCTCAACCAAATATTGAACTGTCTCCGCCATCTGCTTATTCTCCTGCGTGTTTTCGGCTAGCAGAGAATTAATTTCTTTCATTTTTTGTAGAAATTGTTCGGGGACAGAAGTGGTGCCTTCACGTGCCGCCAGTTGAGCGTTGGCATTGGCCAATGCTTCGGCTAGTTTAGTTTCACGTTGAGCCGAACGTTCGATGTCGTAACGCAGCTGGGTAATGGTTTTATTCATCGTTTCCTTTTCCAATTCGAGTAGGGCGAGTTGATTTTTCAATTCTTTCATTTCGGCCATTAGCTGGGCATTTTCTTTTTGCTGCTGTTCCTTGCGGGTAAAACGACGGGTCTCAGCTGCCTGCAGGCTTCCAATTCGAGCTTCTAGACTTTCAATTTCTTGGGTTTGCAGGGTCAAACGTTCTTGTAGGTGGTCAATTTCTAGTTCGGCATTTTCTTTATCCCGAGCCACCTTATCCATTTCTCGTTTCAATTTGTCACAATATTCAATGCGCTCAGCCAGTTCCTTTTCATAACGTGATCGTTCACGTTCACAGTTGCGTTGTAAATCGGCGGACCTCTCACGTTCCCGTTCATTTTGTGCCGTCAGTAGTTTAATTTCACTCTTCAAACGTTCAGCCAATTCAGATTCGAAATCGGATAGGGATCGAGGAGATTTACGTGGTGACTCCGTGGGTGATTTCAGCAGAGATGAATTGCGACGACTATCGGTACGCTGTAAGGTGGTTAATTGCGTTTGCAAAAGTTCACAACGCTCCCTTTCGATATCCAAATGTTTGTGCAGCTCATCCTCCTGAGCCAGGGCTGATTCTAGACGCTTCCGCATTGCCTCAATGATAAGGACATCTTGTTCCTGCACCTCCTGGGAATGTTGTTTCTCTTCCATGAGTTCACGTCTCAACTCATCGGCATGATCTCTTTCGACGGCAATTTGAGCCCGTAATGCCTCCAGCTGATTGAGTAAATCCCGTTCTCCGGTGAAGTTTTCATCATCTGTGGTGCCGGGAGCCTCAAGGCCGACATTTTTCTCTACATGCGAACGATCTAAATTATTTTCTTCCTCACTTTCGATAGCTTTCAAAATGTTCGAATCCAATTGGGCAGAGTAGTTTAGTTCCTTCTCGACCTGTTGGGCAATTTCATCGACAGAGAATTGTCGGGAACTGTTATCACTGCTTTGTTGCTTCCATTTTTCCACTTCCCTTTCGAGGTTGACAATTTGCCGCTGCAAATCTGCAATTTTATCTTCAGCAATGGAGAGTTTTGTGGAGAGGGTTAGGAGACGTTCATCCTTGGCTTTGATTTCCAAATTGAAATTTTCAATTTCCTTTTTACGATTTTCATTATCCTTGGCAGTGTATTTGCATTGTTCGTGGGCCTCGCTAATGGCTCGTAGCTCTTTGCGTAGACTTTCCCGCTCTTGAACCTCTTTTTCGGTATTTTTCAAAATTGTCGTTTCCAGTTCTTGAATGCGTCGTTTGAAGACCTCTTCACTTTCTTGGAGATTTTTCAGATTCTTATCATGTTTCGTTAGCAGATCCGATCGTTCCTTTTGCCATTTTTCTTGTTCTCTTTGTAGCTCCTCTATTTCCAAACATTTATCGGTAAGCTGCCTTTCCAAATCCCGGATTTTCTCCGAATTCTCTTTGAACTCCTCCAATTCCCTTCGACATTGTTCCAATTCATCCTGCAAGTTGTTGAGGCGTAGCTGTGAGGATATCAACTCCTCGGAACTTGTTTCCTTTTCCTTTTGCAATTTTTCGATTCTATCCTGCAATTCTTCGATTTGTTTATTCAATTTCCCAATGGTGGCCTTATCTTCTTCCATGGCCTTGCGTTGTTCCTCCACTTGCCGGGGACTTTGATAATTGCTGGGTGTTTTCAATTTCGAATCTTCTGTGAATTCGGAGAAATTAATTTGTCTTGGCACAAGAGTGGGTGTATTCGAAGCTCCCGACTGAGCCGACCCCAGTAAAATATTAGGATCTTGGAAGTAATGTGGATGATCAAAGGTATTGACCTGATGCAATGTGGCGAAGCCTGTCAAATCTTCAGTACGTTTGTGGGTAAGATTGGCCACCGCACCCTTTGTGGTGTCCATGGTGTGTTGCAGGAAACCACCACTACCCTCGGGTAGCAGCAAAGGAGAACTGGTATTGGCACCCATTGCCCGCCTCACCACATCCGGTTCATCAAATTCCGATATCGACACAATATCACTTAAAGTTCTGGCACTTAATTTTGAACCTCCAACCTCTTCGGGTTTCTTGCCCAACAATCCCAGCGAAGTACTCGAAGCCTGATTACTCGAATCCAAGACATTTTGCAATTCCTTTTCCTTACTCTCCAATTGCTCTTTGAGATGATCGATTTCTTCATTTTTATCCGCCAACATTGTTTCCATCAAATCTGGCAACGCCAATTTGTTGATCATTTCATTTTTAATTTTATCTTTGAGTTTTTGATTTTCCACCTGCTTTAACTTCAATTCATTCTCCAAACGTTCTATAGCACTACGATCGGGTTGGTGTTCCACCGCCAATTCAGCTTCCAAACGATCTATGACCATTTTACTCTTTTCCAATTGCTGTTTCATGGTGGCAATTTGTTTATCACGATTCGTGAGAGTCTCACGTACCGTTTGCAGTTCATTTTGTAAATCATGTATGCGAATGTTGAGATCGGAGGTGTTGGCCCGTTGCAGTTCTTCGGCACGTTGTCGCTGTTCTTCGAGTCGTGATTGTAGCGCAGAGATACGCTGCGTCTGCTCGGACATACGTTCCTGCAGCGATTCCCGTTCAACCTGAAGTTCCTAATGGGGAGGGGAAGAAAGGGAAAAAGAGAGATTTTTATGATTAGAAAAGGGAATTGAGGGTTAAAAAATTAAATCTAAGTTAAAAATTAATTTAAAAGTCTCTCGAGAGAGTTTGGCGCCCAACGTATCGAATTGAAATGCTAACAAAATTAAAAACACCGTTGGGCTTAACGGAAAAATATGGGTCTAATTAATAAATGAAATTATATTCTGTAAAGAGAAAGGCACAGAGGGAGAGAGCTTTCATCTTTTTATCACTTGCAGATCAAAAAATTGAAGTCTATTTAAAGCTGAGCGAATGCCCAGAAAGAAAGAAGGATCTGCCCGATATTTCCGATATGGGTCTTGGCGCCCAAATAATTTTGAACAAGAATTTATGGCATTGATAAGAGGTTAGGCCACCAAAATTCTGGTTTTAATAATTCTCAATGTAAATATGTTTACATGAGAGAGTATCAGGATAACATACATTTTTGGCGCCGAAATACTTAAAAAAACACATAATGAATATGGCGCCCAACAATTTTTTACAAAATTTTAAATTTTTGGTCTAAAATCCATTTGATAATCGCAGATCAATTGAAATTTGACTAGAACTAGTATTCCCTAAAAGAAGTGAGCATGACATACAGTAGCGGCAGTTCATATAAAATTTGGCGCCCAACGTGCGGATTTTTGTATGGTCGCCCACAATTTCTAAAACAATACATTTGAAATGTTATGTTATTCCCATATAATATAGCAGACGTTTTGAAAGGCTCCATGATAAAATCAGTGAGCGTAGCAGTGTAGTCGGACGGAACTGACCATATGACACCCTACACAAATACCACGGAACTCTAACTTTTCGAAGATCTATATTTCGAGTAGGTCAATATTTCGTCATATTAGCACCCTATTGAAAGATTAGAGATCATTTCTTACGATGGTATATTTTCGGAATATTACTGAATAAAAGTCCTCGAAATACGTTGGCCGGATTCCTTTCCCGGTGCGTTGTGTTGTTGTGACCGACTTATAATTGTGGTCGCAGAAAAAGAGACATAAAAAGTTTTGGACCATTTTAAACACCTGATACCACCGAACCTCCAGGCGTCGTCCTTGGCCATAACCGGAACTTAATGAAATATTTCATATTCATGTCCGCCCTCTAGCGGGGTAATGGTAATTTTAAACAATATCAGAATAGATACGTCATCCACATTTCGAGTCTATTTACTTCAGTAGTAAACATATAGGCCATAGTATGCAAATTTTGTAATTTTTTACACGAAAGTCTGGGTGTATATGACCCGCTAAATATAAGTCGATTCTTCTGAAAAGAGTCATGTATATTCCTTGGCAGATCCGACTCCGTATAAAATTTGACATTATTCGGGTCATAATTGTGGTCTCCAGAGCGACCAGAATAAGAGACAAAAGTAAGTTGATGATCCATTTCATCCCCTAAATATTAACCGATCACTACAAAAAAAAAAAACAGGGGTTTTCTTATGCCAGAATTTGTCCTAAATGCAAAATTTCGTCCATATTTGTGGCCTGTATCGTGTTTATAAATAATAATGGACAGACGGACGGACACACATGGTGGGTTTCGGACCAATATTTCGCGGCTTTACAAACTCTTGGTGTCACACAAAGCTACAATACCCTTACGATATAGTTGTGTAGGGTATAAATATATTTTCAAAAATCCTCAACTATGAGTCCTTGAAATGTATTTCTAAAAAAAAAAAAAAAATTCACCCCTAATATTCTTCGAATATTGTAAAACTGAATACACAGAATTAAATCTACGCCTTTTTCAAAAATAAAAAAACCTCCCACTCTAACAAATGGCGCCCAACGTATTATTGGAAAAGGATTCTTCAAGAAATCAGCAGAATATATAAAGCCTTGGAGCATCCCGATGATATTCTAAGCCTAAAATTCATTGGGCGCCATATTGAGTTTACGGTACTGATTTTAAAAGGGCGCCCAATAAATATTAAAAACATTAGTGATGCGGGAATTTGCAGGTAATGTAAAGCATTCAAATATCTGAAACATTTTTAAAATTTCGTTGGCCGCCATGATTTCTTCTGCAGACACAAAATGTCCTTCGGTTCCTCTTTAACAAAAAACTACAAGACTACTGTAAATAATACCTATAAACCCCTTTGTCTCAACTATAAGTGTCTACTCACGTACACACTTTCATTGATTGTATATCACTTCTTTTTTGCTAGGTGGGTGGCCAAATAATATTTTGCACTAAATTCGAAACACTGAATGTCATCACAGAGTTCGTGACATTTTAACGCGCAAAATAGCTTGCAGACAGGATGGCAGGATAGTATACCAACAAACCAAAAAATACAATAAAAGTAAAACAAAAAAAAAAAAATAAGAACACTTCTCCCCTACTGAACAAACTCATCGGATCTTTCTCCCCCTGCCTTTTAGCAAAATTGTCGTCATGATTATCATCATTGGATCTCTTCTTCTTTATCATTTAATTTTTTGGTCTGTGTAATGTAGTGGCTTTTTTTGGAAACACCACCATGAGACACCAACTGATTGAATGGCTTTTTGTTGCTCAGTGAGAGAGTGCTGTGTTTATAGATGTGCGTTTCGGGTAGGGGCTGTATATTGTTGCACCACCATCCGACATAATATAAGTACATAGATTTTTTTGTATTGCACTGGTCACAAAGTAAATCATACTCTTGGATGCTAGGCAGGCAAGTGGTTGCCTTCGAGGTGAGGTTTAATAATTGGAGGAAAAAAACTCAATACACTTTGAGTTATTTTTTAGAAATAAAAATACTAAAAAAAATCTTTAAACTTTTTTTAATTCAGAATAGAAATTCTTGAAAATATAAAAAAGGCTTTGAAAAAAATGTTCAATGTTTTACTACTTTAAAATCCTATGTGGCGCCCAACGCAAAAATACTGAAAAGGCTTCAATAAGCTGTCGAAAAACATATTATAGAACTTGAAAAACAGTACTAAGGCCTGGTGGAACCTTTTATACCCTCCCCAGGTATCCATTTAAAATACAAAAAAATTGGTTCGGGACCTTTATTTGGAAAATATTTTTTTTATGTAATAAAATAGTAATCTTTAAACCTTTTTGGATTTGGATTTTTTTTTTTTTTTTGCATCGATCAAATTTTTAAATGAAATTCAAGTACAGAAATCTTAAAAACATCACAATTAACAATTAAATTTTTTAAAATTACCCTAATAATCTTTTAAACAAATAAAAAATCAGATCTAATAATCTTTTTAAAAAATATGTATCTCTGCCCATTATTCCCAGACAAAGACGAAGAACACAACTTTGCAACATGTGTGCGTCTACTTTGCCAGACAGAGTCAGAATCAAATTAGCCTGTCTTCTACATTCCTTAAACTCGCACACAAAAATTATTGATGTTTATTTTTCAATTGTTGTTGAGCTCATACTTGGGGTTTTAATACCATCCATTGTTGTTGTTGCTGTCATTGAAGTTGGTGGAGCAGAGAGTAAGAAGTCATCATTTTATTTAATTGCCACATTTTGCACATTTTAAATGCAAAATTGTTAGGTCAGTTATAACAAGATACAGCAACGGGAGCAACAACAACAAAAAAGGTCAGTTCAATGAAAAGGACTATGAACTCGTAGAAATCTGCGGAATTTTGAATTAAATTGTCTTTTGAGATTTAAAGAAAGACCTAAATATTTTCGGGATGAGTTTAATTTGAAAAGGGAGTAACATTAAAGAAGGAAAGCTGGAGGGTACAATCAGAAAAGAGAAGTACGTAAAATCAATTGTAAATATTCTTCAAAACCACGACTATTTTTTTTGAAATTTATTTAATAAGGAGTATTTTTAAGGACGACCTTTTCAAGGATATATTTTCAATTATTATTAGAGTGAAAAAATAATATTTTCAGTTGATTACAAAAATTATATATTTTTAAAAAATTGTGGTTTTTAGAGTGAGAATTTGTAAAAAAATATGTTCGTAGGTCAGTGCGTTTTTTTATAGACAAAATTGTCAGGGCTACTGTAGTGCGGATTTTTTAAATGATTGGCTTGATTATTCCCATTACTGCTACAATATTCTCCTACTTTTCCTTAATTCCTTTAAAAAGTATTACATAAATTTCCCGTTTAAATTCCCTTTCTCCTCCACCATTTTTTTCATTCCCGAAACCATATTTCCCATATCTATCATCATCAGTAGCTGAAGCAGAAAAATAGCATCTCAATGGGATATGAGGAGGATGTTGATGATGCAATTTAGGGCTCTTGCACACACACACAGAAATTTCACTGTTTATTCCAGCACTTCATCCAGCCAGCCAGTCGGCCAACCATTCATCCCTATCCATAACAAAACACCAAGTTTATCGTAAACAATGAATTCATTTGTTTATATAAAACAGAATGGGTGAATTACAACCAGCAGCCGTACCACGTACCATTACCATGGCTAATCAGCCCTTTTTCTGGTGGAAACATCGGAAGGAATTACTTTAAAGTGTATCGTATTTTTTGAAGAAGATTTTTTTTTAATTTTTTTTTAGGCAAACTGTTTCATGTTACTTTACATTTGATTTTGAAGTTCTTTTTTTTTCTTTTTTATGGTTTATGTCATTTTACACTTTTGATGTAATAAATTGTGTTTGTTTTTTGGTTACTTCAGTTGTGGTTTCTTTCATTATTGTTAAAAATGTTTTCAAGGCTATTTGGCGTGGATTTATTAAAAAATATTTGTTTCAAAGACAAGCAGGCGTGGATTTTTTAAAAAATATTTTTTCCAAACACCATAGGGCGTGGATTTATTAAAACAATATTTTTCCAAGGGCCAATAAGGCGTGGATTTCAAGGGCCAACTTGAGGCGTGGATTTATTAAAGAATATTTTTCAAGGGCCAACTGAGGCGTGGATTTATTAAAGAATATTTTTCAAGGGCCAACTGAGGCGTGGATTTATTAAAGAATATTTTTCAAGGGCCAACTG